ATTCCATAATTCATTGATGCCAAATATATCCACCTCTATCCACTTTTTCCCATGCAATTGCTCCTAGAAACCAAAAATGTGATACCCAAGTAAATGTTTCCCATGTGGTTCCCAAAAATAATACTAAATCATCGAACATTTAAAGATCATATTGGTGTTTATAGAAATAATGAAATGAAATAACAAGCACCCATGGTATGTCTATAAATAAATGCCCTCATTTTCAAATTTTCCATTTGTTTTTTGGCATTATATTTGCTATTTTCCACATTTATCTCAAGGTTATCTAAATCTTGGGAAGTTTTTCTAATTTGAGAAGGAATGGCTTGTAGTCCTTTCCCTTTTAAACTTGGGGTGAAACATGGAATGCATAATATTGCTTGTCCTTTACTACTTATGATGGTTGTGAAAATGTGATTAACAACATATCTAATCAAAATAGGGTTATGTTAGTGTGCTCACACTATGAAGTAATTTATTATTATGTTCAACAAATTTTGGACACTTATGTACTTTTGTTTTGCATATAAAGCATTTTTTTAGTAAGGATATTTTTTATCATTATGAAGGATGTGACGTCATCTACATGGGGTGTGACATCATCCCACATCGAGAAATAAATGTTATTAGTATACTCCATTTGGGTGATGTCACACTCATATATATATAACGTCACATCCTATTAATGACAAAAAGTCCTTCATTAAAAAAATATTCCATGTACAAAACAATAGTATAGAAGTGTCTAAAATTTATTGAGTACAATAATAAATTACTCTATAGTATGAGCACCCTAACATAATCCATCAAAATATAATAAAAAAACATAACTAAATTTGAAAAAATAAAAGTGTCCTTGGTTTTCCATTGCTACCTACTCCGCCAACCCACCATAGAGAGAGAGGGGGGCTATTGAAGGTGTGGGAGCATAGGAAAGTTTTTTTATTGGAAACATGCGAAAGTTTAATATTGGCAGCCTTCTTTTCATTTATTTTTCATATTTATGTTTATCTATGAAAAAGGGAACTTAGGTGGTCCATTTGGACTCAATCCTAGCCTACAAGACTCATTTTTAGCTAGCATGACTAGGTTCAGGGCACAAGCCCATCTATCAGACTATACATCCATTTGAACTCAATCCTACCCTACAAGACTCATTTGTGGCAGGTTCTAGGGCACAGGCCCATCTATCGGACTATCAATTCATTTGGATGCACACAATTTTGAGATTATGATTTGAATATCAATTTAGTAGGTTGGAATCAATTATCAAACTTGTCAATCAAATCATTGCTTTTGGAAAAATATATCTAGGCATTGCTACCACTAGAGGGTAGTACAAGTTTGTTTGTTTTTTATCCTTCTTAAGGCCTCAATAATAGATTCTTAATTGCTCATAAACAAGGTTGTATGGGCCTAAGCTTTGTTCTTTGATATGAACCATCTTTGTATAAAGTTTTTGAAGTTTAAAGAAAAATGAAGCCCAGTAGCACCATAGGAAAATAGAACTCAACATGAAAGGAACAAGAAAAATGAAGCCTACAGCTGAACTAACCCCCAAAAGGAAATGACACAAAAATAATTAACAAGGAAAGAATAAGAAGAAGATAAAATATGATAAAGGAAATCGTTATGAAATTAGAAAAGTGAAAAGAAAATCTTAGCAATAGAAAAAACTAAAGGATGGAGTTTCTATGAGGCCTAGGCTTTATGAAAACAAAATAAATCCTCACCTCAAATCCTCGTCTGGAAAGCACTTTCGACAACGAAAATCTACATAATTGATCTAAAATCAAATTCCAACAGTGGTAATAAAATTTGAAACTCAAAAAATGATAAAGATCTTGCAAATTCATGAACAGTTATTTTTAGGGTGAAATAGATGGTCAAGATAATTTGTTAAAATATACCCAATTTTTAGAGCTTAAATCTTAGTTTTTTTTCACAACCATAATGTTCAAGCTGAGATGATCGATATATAGGTTTTGCAATGCTTGAATTCCAAATTTTTGATGAATTATAAGATGCTGATTTACTTATTTTGATAGGGTTGAAGCCCTATCATACCATTTTTCAAAACTAAATACTACGAGACCATTCCCTTTTGAGGTCACAATTGTTGGTTGTCATTTGATGTAAATAATATTAAGGTTATTTAAATTTTTTATTATTCTTTTAACTTTAAGAGGTGCGCAGGATTTTGTGCGTGAGTTGATATTGATTGATTTGGGTTAATTAGTTATTGACTGATTTTGGTTAGTTAGTTTGGAATAAACATAGATAATTAAATTAGGGAAGGTAGTTTAGGAGTATAAATAGGATAATGTTGGATCTAAATGGGATTTATCTTCAACAACATGCAACGTTCGGATAAAACGTGGGATATAAGCAAATATTTGACACGTGATTTTATGAGAGAGAACATAAGGAAGAAGAGATAAAAAATAGGAAAAATGTAGAGAGAGTTTTTTTTTAATGTTTACATTATTTTTTAGTCTATTTGAATAGAGGTATCCCTTCATTGTAAAAAAGTTGAATAAAATTTTGGCCGAGATTATTTCGGGGTGGATTCCCTTGCAAATCTTGAGATAGTGTATATTCTCTTAACCTTGGGATGAATTCCTTGTAGATCTTGAGAAATGGTATATTCTCTCAACTTTTTATTTTTATTTTTTTCTGATTTTATTTTATCTACATTAATTGTATCGGAGCGAGGACAGATCTAGAGAGCAAGTCAGATCCAGATCAAGTTAGATCAGAGCAACTCAGATCCAGATCAAGTCAGATATTGAGAGCAAGTTAGATCTAAGCAATCAAGCTAACATGTTAGATTTAAGCAATCAAGCTAATCTTACTCCTACTATGAATTATCGTTGGTAGAAAATTTCACTAAAGCCCTAAAGGATTTTCGAACTGAAGATGAATCAAGAGATGAATTAGAGGTTGCAGCGGTTGGAGAACAAGCTTTCTCGTGAAGAAGGTACTCACAACCACATTTATCTTGCACCAGTAATTCCACGACAAATACTGGGTGTTCATTTGAAGCATACTAAAGAAATTTACAAGCCAGATCCGTCGTGTTCTATAGAGAAACCAGATCTGTCACGTCCTATAGAACGACCACGAAATTTTGATATTAAAATCGATCTCCCAAAATTTCATGGTCAAGCGTGTTCATTGGTTGAACTTGGTGTTTTTTTTGAGCTGGACCCATTCCTGGTTAGGAATAATCCGCCCAAGCTCGTATTCAACAATTACTCTTAAAACACAGTGGCAGACATCAATCTTGAAGAAAAAGTATCGAGACACACGGTAGGACTTCATCACCAACTTTTGAGCTCGAGGTCGAGCTTCTCCCAACCCGAAGAGAATGATCCAAATAATATTAGGGCTATTTTAATTTTTTATTATTCTTTTAACTTTAAGAAGTGCGCAGGATTTTGTGAGTGAGTTGAAATTGATTGATTTGGGTTAATTTGTTATTGAATGATTTGGGTTAGTTAGTTTGAAATATAAACAGATAAGGTTAAATTACGGGAGGTAGTTTAGGAGTATAAATAGAATAATGTTGGATCTAAAGGGGCTTTATCTTCTCAATAACAAGCAACTTTGGGGTAAAACGTCTGATAGAAGCAAATATTTGGCATGTGATTTTAAGAGAGAGAAAATAGGGAAGAAAGGGTAAAACATGGGATAGAAGTAAATATTTAGCACGTGATTTTAAGAGAGAGAACATAGAAAAGGAAGGGTAAAACGTGGAATAAAAGTAAATATTTGGCATGTGATTTTAAGATAGAGAAAATAGGGAAGCACAGATAAAAAATAAGAAAAGTGTGGAGAGAGTTTTATTTAATGTTTATCTTATTTTTTAGTCTATTTAATAAAAAAAGTTGATGAGTTTGAATAAAATTTGGTCTCGTGAAGAGATTATTTTGAGATGGATTCCCTCTCAGATTTTGATAGAGGGTATATTCTCTCAACCTTAGGGTGAATTCTCTCACAGACTTTGAGAAATGGTATATTCTCTCAATTTTTTATTTTTTTTTGTTTTATTTTCTCTACATTATCATTGGATGTGAATTTTGACGGATTGACGTGTGTCACAGCATTTTACATTTAAGGTTGAAACCTTATTTAAACTTTTTACTTCGACTTTTAAACGAATTCAAATCATTTTCAACATTTTACTTGGATTTAGGGGTGGCAATGGACCTGGACCTGCTAGGTATACCTGACACGGGTCGGGTATGGGTCTAGCATTTGGACCCAACGGGTTGGGTCTGGGCCCAAAACTTGGATCCGAACACTATATAGGTCCGGGTCTGGGTCCAGCTGGACCCGACCCATACCTGTAAACAGTTGGAGATCAAATACTTGACTTAAGCCCTATTCATTTGGGTGTATTAAAGATCGTATATAATTAGAACTAGTTTATCTTTAGCTATTAAACGACAAGTCACACGACTTGAAATCAAGAGCGGGTGATTGTGATCTTGTTACTAATAATATGGGTATATGACGGTAAAAAAGGGCAAAAATAAAAAAGAAACAAAGAAGCTCACAATGAAGGTGACAATGGACCCGAGACCTGAAATATATAGGTATAGATTCAATTTTTGGACCCGAATCTATTCGAATCTGGTTCCAAATCCAACCGGACCTAACCCATTCCCGACCAGTTTCCACCCCTACCTGGATCTTGCAGCCTCTCATGGTTATCTACTAAGGGTCATAAATGAAATTGATAGAGAGAGAGAGGATTTGTAACGAGAGCATTGTTGAGTATGTGATTTTAAATTTAGGGTTAAAAGCAAAAACAATATAAGATCAAAGTCTACGATTTTATTCTCACCTTAAAAAAAAAAAAAAATAGAAGATAATTGGTTTCAACGGCTTTTTGTAATTTTGTTATCGATCAACTAAAAACAATGTGCGATGGATGATAAAGCACTTAAAAATTGAAGCAGACTTTATGGCCTGCAACAGCCATCACATGAAGGCCTTAATTTCTCCCCAACTGCCACCCCTCCACCCTTAACTCTCTTTCTCTCTCTCTCATCTGCACAACCCCTTTATAAATCACTCCACCTCTCATCTCCCAATGTGAACCTCCATTTTCCTTCTCTCTCTCTCTCTCTAGATCAGTAACAGGGTGTAGGTTTTGGGTACTCTCTCATCAACCATGGCATCTGACAACCACTCTGTAGTAACCATCAAGAGGAAGTCCACCATAAAACCAGACAAGAAGGCAGAGAGAGAAACCATCCCATTAGTAACCTTCGACCTCCCCTATGTGACTTTTTTCTATAACCAAAAACTCCTCCTATTCAAAGATTTTGATAAGAGAGAAAATGGAGAAAGAAAAGAGCCCATCAGCAATGGCTTCGAGGAGAGAGAGAAAGATGAAGATGAGGGAAATGGGAAGGAACCCAACACCACAAATGGGGGGTTTGAGGAGAGAGAAAGCGGAGGAGAGAGAAAGAAGCCTGCTGAGATTTGGTTTGAGGAGAGAGTGGAGGGATTGAAAAAGAAGTTGAGAGACGTTTTGGGTTACTTTTTTCCTCTTTCAGGGAGGCTTAAGAAAGCTGAGGATGGGGCTTTGGAGATTGAGTGCAATGATGAAGGGGTGGAGTTTGTTGAGGCTTTGGGTGAAGGGATAGGGATTGAGGATCTCTCTAAACCAGAGGCTTCTCCACTTCTTAAACTCATTGTTCCTTACACTGGGGTCTTCAATTTTCAGGGATTCACCCTGCCATTGCTGTCTGTTCAGGTAACTTTCCTTGTTTCTCTCTCTACCTCTCTCTCTCTCTATTGATGTTTGTCTCAGCAAGTTACATACCTCTCTCTTAAGAGATTTCTCTCTCTAGATGTTATCTTCTCTCTTATTTTTCTTAAAAATTAAGGCCAGGGGCCCTCTCTCTCTCTCTAGATCCCAAGAATAGACTGTGAGTCTCTCTCTCTCTAATTCCCAAGAATAGATGGAGACGCAGGACCCTTTTTCTCTCTCCTCTTCATGACACCGTCTTTAATGGTGTTCATTGTTAGGTGTCGCTAAACTCATTACTAGTTATTGTCATACCAGTATTTCAATTCCCATCTACGTGTTACTTTTTCTATAAGGACTAAGTTTTATGAAAATAAAGTAAAGTCTTAGTTCGAATTCTCATCGGATAGCATTTTGGGTATTCGAAATCATTTTTCAACACCGATCGTGAAATTTAAAGTTACAAAATAATATAGATCTTGTCGATTTGTGAACACTTATTTTTAGGATGAAATGAATAGGCTAGATAATTTGTAACAATGTGCACTATTTTAAGTACTTAAAATCCTGTTTTTTTCACGATTATGATGATCAAAGCCGAGATGAAAGTTTTTCGATACGAGAATTGCAATTTTCGGTGAATTTTGAGTTGAGGCTTTGATTATAGGCCCTATCAAACTATTTTCCTTATCGTTATTGCTTGCTTGCTTAGTCATGGTAACTCAAATTGCTAAAGTTAACAAGGCATATGCACATGCTATCCTAAATTACTGAAAATCCATTTAAACGACATTAAAAAAAATCAATCAGGGAAAAAAAGAACCAAAAATGTAAACCTTGAAATTTGCCCCACATTTAGATGGAGATGGGATTTTTGGTGACACTGGATATTTTTGGAGAGATTTTTTTAAATACAATTAAAAAAAGATGTCTAAGTTTTTACTCTCAAAGACTACTATTGTCCAATTTTGTAAAGTGTAGACACAAATGTATAATGTAACACGTGGAGAAAACCATATTGGCACATGTTTGTAAACCATAATGGCACATGTTTGTAAACCATAATGGCACATGTTTGTCTTACATAGCATGTATCATATCCCCAGATATGGTTAAGATCAATGTTTTGAAAAATGAAAATCCAGATAGGAACGATCAAAATTGTTAGGATCAATGGGTGGTTGATCCATATCTATAATATCAATAGATTTTAACCTATTTTCAAATTTTTTTATTTTTTTTCCCAATTTGGTCCATATATATCACCTGATTCAGCGGATTTAGATCACTTAGAACGACAGGCTAATCCAAAACCCAATTCCAGATTTTAAAACCTGTTGAGATAGACACATTTTGCTCAACCTGTTGATTAAACTATTTTAAAAAAGAAAAAAAAAAAGAAAAAAAAAGGTAAATCTCTCCTTCAATGTCTTCGCCATCTTAGTTTTATTACAACCTTTAAAGTTTCAACTAGAAACTAGAACTATAGGCCCTGCTTCTCCCAATTTCCATCACATTTTCAATTTTTCCATCAAAATATGTCAATTTCTATTGAATTTCCACTTATTTTACATATGGATAGAGAGAATTGTCGGTCTGGGCCCCCAATAAGAACAGTAGCCTAAATGCTTGGGACCCACAATCCAGAGGTTCCTAGAGTTAAGTCTATATACTGTCAATTATGTCCCACATGTTCCTCCCTTGGACGGTCGGTCTGGATTGTGTGGACAGTTGAGATTTGATGGGATAATGCAGCTCAATTGATGGTCCGGATTTTGTGTCATTTGAAAGGACGGTTGAGATATAATGATTTTCTTTCTGACCATGAGATCTCGAGATGTGAAGTTGACACGGTTGTCAGTTTGTTCGTGTACTTCAAAGCTCAAACTCTGGTTTGGACTGTTGATATATGTTTAATGCTTATTTTCGATTGTTTTCTTTTTGTATCTTCAAAATATTAAGTCTCTTCGATATTTCAAACTTTTGTGTGTTTAGGGGTCACAACGGGTCTAGTCCGGGTTCAACAGGCCTCGAACAAAATTTATGGGTCCTTGACCCGGTCCCTAACCTAGACTAGTATTTTTAAATATTATGTTAAATATATATGTATTATTTAAATATTAATAGTTATATTTATTAAAATATTATTCAAATAGCCTATTTCAAACTAGTTGCGGGTACATTAAGTTGGTAAAAACCTTGAACGATGTAATGAGTGAGTGATGTAACTGATTTTCATTCATCAATAATGAATGATAACATATGCCAAATAAAAAAAAATGGTAAAAACAATAAAATCTTGATTTATTATGATTCTGATACCTATATACCTCTCTAGTACATCAAAAGGATTTTCTGAGATCAGATCTCGGTGTGGGTGTGGGTCAGGTCCAGGTAGAGTCGACCGAGAACCGACCCGATTAGCTCCATACGCGGATCTGGATTAGGTCCAAGGGACCCAGATCAAGGTAAGAGGAACAAGTATCCGAATCTCAAATATCTCTCGTACAAATCCGCAAAAAGAGAGATATACACCGCTTTATACTTGCGTGAACAATTTAAATGCAAACATTTGATGGTCCCATAGAACCAAACGATCATACTGGTCCATCATTCAAATCGACCCCTTTCGGGTTGGTGAGGGACCAAAAAATGCTTCATGTTAGTCTCCTCCAAACCAAAATCAGTCTCCTCTAAAAATGATTTGAAGTAGATATTTCCAGGTCTACCCTGCCTAAAGCAAATGTGAATGGTCCCTCATAAAATCATTGGTTGTGGTCCTTTGGACCATTAAATATTCTTCCCAAATTTAATGGGGACCTCATCTTCACTAAGCTACCTAAAAAAAAGAAAACTATGAGGAGAGCATTTAAACTCTTTTGTAATCATAAAACACCCAAAGTATAAATAGATAGATACTTGATTCAATTAAGTGTGGGTGGACCTAAAATTTTGGGCACCTACTTCTTTGGCTCTTTCCTAGAAAAGGTAAAAATATATGATATATTCCATTGATAATTTGATTTTGTTTTACTTTTTTAAAAAATCCAAAAAGTAAAAACTATGTTTTCAAAAAATAAAAAGCATAAAATCTCAAAAAAATGGACTTTTTAAGCAATTTACCTCCAACCTAACTTTTCCTAGCAACTTTTTTTCAAAACAATGTTTCCTAGCAAATACCTCCAACTAAAAAAAAGAAACTAAAATACCACTCCCTTACCTCACACGTTGACAATGGCGGTCCAGTGTTTGGAAGAGGCGGTCCAGTGCTTGTCACTGATTTGGAATGGTCAGGCATTACATTATGGCGGTCTGGAGTTTGGAAGAGGCGGTCCGGCATTTGTTTGTAGATTAATGAGCGATCGGGCATTTGTGAGCTACGGTCCGGTAAAATTGAAAATTGTGTCTCGAATAGGTGGCCCCAACAGTGTAAAGTTCTGGTCCGGCAGAATGGATGGGTCCGGCAATATACAACCGTGGTCCGGAGTTTCCTTTTATTGGGATCCGAAAATGATTTGTTATGAACAGGAATGGTATTTTCGCCAAAAAAATGAACTTTTAGTATTGGGGGTATTTGCTATAAAACTTCATTTTTGAGAAAAAATATGCTAAGAAAATTTAGGGTGGGTAAAGTGCCTAGAAAGTCTATTTTTGTGGGTTTTATGCAATTTTTTCAAAAAAAACTTATTTACCAAAAAAAAAAAACTTCTTCTAAAGATGGTAATAGGTCCATAATAACTCCAAACATTGAGAAATTTACTTTCTAGTTTAAAATTTTGCTTGTCTTGGAATGGTATTTTTTATTATCTTTATTTGGTGAATTTTTTGGAAATTAAATCCTGAAAACTTATTGCTATTAATTCTAATAACCTGTAACCCAAAAAAAGTCTGTTTATCATTGAAAAGAGCCTGTCAATTTGGATTGGGGAAAGTGTGCTTATATATAGAGTACAGGGTTCACGTGTGGATCTCCTAAAAAAAATTTAGCTAGTGATCAGGTGACCAAGCTCAGAGATGGAATGGCCCTTGGGTGTGCCTTCAACCATGCTGTACTGGATGGCAACTCAACATGGCACTTCATGAGCTCATGGGCTGAGCTCTCAAATGGCTATCCCACCCCCTCTCTCCTTCCCTTCCATGACCGGACCCAGTCGAGGGACACACGTTTGAAGCTCGACATCCCGGACCTGAACTCTATCAGTCCACATGAAAATGGCAAGCCACCAGAGAACGACGACAATGATAACAACAGAGGTCATATGAGGGAGAGAATTTTTCACTTTTCTGGAGATGCTGTGGAAGCCATAAAGTCTCAAACCAACGAGGCTCGTGATCCTGGTGCCCCTTCGAAGCCTTTGTCGGCTTTCCAATCTTTGTCTGCACACGTGTGGAAGGCTGTTTCTAAGGCAAGGGGCCTCCAGCCTGGTGATGTGTCTATCTTCACTGTGTTTGTCGATTGCAGGAAGAGGATCGATCCACCGATGACGGATTCCTATTTTGGCAACTTAATCCAAGGGATTTACAGTCCTCTCACGTGTGATGCTTTACTAGAAGGGCCTGTACAGCTCGGAGCCGAGACATTGCAACGTCTGATAGACTCACACACCAGCAAAGCCATTTCTCAGAAATGTGAGGAGTGGGAGAAGGAGCCGAAACTCTACAACTTTAGGGACGCCGGGATGAACTGTGTGGCCGTCGGCAGCTCGCCGAGGTTTAGGGTCTATGAGGTGGACTTCGGGTGGGGCGGGCCCATGCACGTGCGAAGTGGGTCCAACAACAAATTTGATGGTATGGTGTATTTGTATGGTGGGAGTGATGGGGCCCGGAGTGTGGATGTGGAGATAACACTAGAGGAGAAGGCCATGGAGAGGCTTGAGGAGGACCCCAAGTTCCTCTTGGGCATCTCTTGAAGAATTTCGAATTTGAAATGGGGTTATTTCAAATTTTGAATTTCTCTTAGGTTGTGCTTTGGGATTTTAGATTTGGTATGGAGGGGTCAATTGAAATGGGAGCTTAGGAGGAGTTACATTGTAATTTTGGGAAATATCAGTTGTTATTTTGTTGTGTTTCTTTTCAAGGGTGTCTTTTTTATTTGTGAAAAACATGGATTTCTTTGGAGGTTCAAGTCAGTTATTTTGTGTATGCAATTTATTGACATTGTTCCTTTCAGTTTATGTTATTTATTTATTTTTTATTTTTATTTTTCCTATTTGTTATGTCTTTATTATCAGCTTTATTGAGCACCACGTGATGCATTTGTATGTACGCCCTCCTAGTGGGGAGTTATTATTTATGTGATTTGAAGATAGATGTTTGGCATGGTAAAATGTTTTTTTTTATTCATTTTGGTATTGTTCTCTCGCTGAAAATGAAGCCATAAGATACTACACTCCCTCGGGAGTACACTGTTTATTTACTCTATTAGGATTAATTTTACGACCTCAGATTTGGGAATATAACCTCTTTAACCCATAGAATGACTGAATTAAAAAAAAAAAAAAAGAAAGATAACTGCACCCTTTATGAATTTGAAAAAAAATAATGTCAAAATTGAGTAGAGACCGTCCAATTTTAAAAAAGTAACATATCAGTATCAAAATCCTGAAATTTCAAATATTTTCTTTTGACAATAATCATCTAGTGATTCTTAGGTAGTTTCCAAATTTTCAAATTGAAAAAATCTCCTAGGTAGGTCTTCTTACTGAGGGAGGAACTGTAAAGTATGCTCCGCAGGAGTATAGCATAACTGCTCCAAAATGAAAATGATAGAATAATATATGCACATGACAATTAGTTTGCTTAATTGACAAATGTCATCTCTGTCATATATGATATTCAGCCAATTAGTTTGCTTACCAGCTTCTACAAAATAATTCTAGAAGTTCTAGTAGAGAGGCTAAAAGTAGTGCTTCCCTCATTAATTTCTAGCCCTCGGCCTTTTTGAATAACAAAATAACAAAATAATAACGGATAGCATTGCACAAGAATGTGTTGACTTGAAAGTTTGTAGTAAGGAGCCAGATATACTACTAAAGCTAGACATGGAGAAGGCTTATAATAAAGTGTAGCGGCATATCCTAATGGAAGTGATGAGATGCATATGTTTTGGAATAAAATGGAGAAATTGGATATGGGGTTGCTTATCAAGTACCAATTTCTCAGTCTTTGTTAATGTATTGCCTAAGGGATTCTTTCAGGTAACCAAAGGGATAAGACAGGGTGATCCTTTATCCCCATTTCTTTTTACATTGATTGTTATGGTTTTTAGCTTGATGATTTCTAAGGTTGAAAAATTAGGCAGATTTAATGGCTTGAAGGCCTCGAACGATGATCTCTCCCTCTCTCGCATCTTCAGTACACCAATGAAAAGATCATTTTTGGCAATGCAGACGAACAAGTGAGGTACGTCAACAATTTCCTTAGATCCTGTAAGTTAGGTTCGGGCTTAAAAGCTAGTTTTAAGAAAACTTCAATGTTGGAGTGGGCTGCTCTGATTCTAGTTTGCATTCACTTGCCACATTAGTTGGCTGCAAAGTGCATTATTTTCCCATTAAGTACCTGGGATAGCTAGTTTTAGACTCTAGATTGCAAGTAAAACTTGATTTGTGGAAAGCAGAAGAGTTACACTGATTAAATCCTCTCTTGTTAACCTCCCTATTTATTCGATGTCATTGTTAAGTATGTCGCCAATGGTGTGCAAATAGGTTAAGCTAATGAGGAATTTTCACGTAAATAAACTCCTTAAAGTGATTAGGTGTGAGAGTTTTTTTACACTATTTGGTCCTAGTGCATATTTTCACACCAATTGACAGCCAATTGGGGTGAAAACAATCTCACCCCATACCAAACATGTCCACCTGAGAAAGTACATTTCAACATGTTTAAGAAAGAAGAAAGCTAGGCAGAACAAATTGAAACTGAGACACTAGATCCTTAAATTGAAACATAGACCCTAGAGAAACAACACTTCATAAATTTTCTTTTATCTTCAATTCTTCGGGGGCCAAAGGAGAATAACTGCCTAGGTCACAAGTATGATTTATAGAGCTAGAGCCCGAAACCCGAAACAAGAAGCACTATCATCAATGAAACCTTCAACTGTTGAGCTATGGTGTGCTCTGGATCACTAATGGGATCAGATGGTTGGGTTCTTTGCAAACAAATGGTCGATTTTTTGTTGCAAGAAAGGGCAGGGAAAATTGATGAGCTTCTTTGAGAAAGGGGGAAAATGGAATGGAAAATGATGGAAAGGGAGGAAGGATAACAGAAGTGGCGGTGTTTCTTTGTGAGAAAGGATAAAGAAATGTTAAAGGTCAGTTTTTGCCTGTAAGAATCGAGAGAGAAAGGAAGACAAAGAGAGGGGAGGAAAGAGAAGGCGAACCCGAAGGCACAAAGCTCATTTATTCGGAAGATATCTTCAATCCAACTATTTTTTTATTTTATTTTTTTTGTAATGAGCATATCCATGTTTTGAGCCATGTTGAACGTAGGAAAAATCCAAATACGGTCCCCCAAAAAGAGCCAAATGGATTTTCATGACTCGTATCCTAGAGATGCAAAATGGGCGTTTGTATATGTGTAAACATCCAGTTTGGAAATAACTTTTTCCTCTGAATTTCTTTATCTCAAGGAGTAGAAATATCCCTTGAAATCCATAGAGAAATCATTAGATTAGCCTAATACACCATAGTCCTCAGTGAACCAAAGTCATGCCTAATCCATAGTCTAACCTAGAAATAATCCAAAATATCCCAAATCCAGAACTTCCAAGATCTGGTTTGAACCCGGATCCGATGTATTCCCCAATAAAAGGTAATTGTCTTTGGTCACATGAGAAACCTCGCTCACACAAATGGAGGGACCCCTCTCTTTCAAAGCTACAACTTCCATGGGTTGGGTTGCAAGCCGTGGTATCCAAAATTGCTTACTAGAAGTTCCAAAATGTTAAGTTACCATAAAACTTTTAGTTATCAGAACCGCTCTACTAAATTGGGAATTTTGGCTTCCAAAGCCCCAAAAAAATTTGGTTACTTAACTCTCCTTTAGTTTCATGAAACCTTCACTCTGGCTTTACAAACCCTAATCTTACCTTAGATCTTCCAAAACTATACTATTTTTTTATAATCCTAGTTAGGCCCAAATGCATAGGAAACACTAGGTTTGTATGTAACCCTAGGTTTTTAATCTCTTGATCCATTTGCTATCCAATATTCGATTTTTTAAATTCAAGTTTCATTTAAGTTTCTCACTAAGTTGGAAAAGGATAACACACTATATTAACTCCTACCTGACCAATCAAAGTCTGATATGTATGAGATTGTATACAAACTTAATATTTAAGAGAGTCCAAAAAGGTGGGTCCCGTCAAATTCAGATATACAAAAAACCAACCTTAAAAGTCTTATTATTTGCAATCTATCTCGGCCCAGCTTAAATAGTGTGAAATTCGAAAAAAAGCATAAACAAGAATGAAATAAAAAAAACAAAAACAAAAAGGTGGGGTTTCTATAGGGTTGCAACCTTAAATTTGGAGGGGGTGTCTACACACAAATTGCATTAGTTCAATTTAGGCTCCTGAGTGCTACTCCAGTGGGCCCAATTTGGTATGTCATTCTTTAGTTGTTTCCTTGTTTATTACCTTATACTCCTCCGTGCTTTTATTTGATTTTAGTCCTGTTAGATGTGTTTTAATCCAATTTCATTAGAATCATACAAAAATATTAGTTTTATTTAGATTCTAAGTGCGATCTATCTAGTGGAGTTGACAATATATATAGGAGAGAATAGAATTGATTCGTTATGAATTGTGTAGGGTTCTTGAGAACACCTCGCTTGTGGAACTAGGAATAAAAAATATCAAGATTCCACCCAAGATTTTGTACATGATTGGCTAAATGCAAAGTAGATGAATACAACTATAAATTGAGTGTAAGAAATAAAACAAACATAAAAATCACACCACAACAACATACAATTTATGTAGTTCACTCATAAGGCTACATCTACGGCCTTGGCAAGTTGAAATCCACGATCACAATGAAGATTTACAGTTTTTGGGTTATAAGAGATAATATATATCTCTAAATATCGGTAAAAGACCATCACCGAAGAGATAATATATATCTCTAAATATCGGTAAAAGACCATCACCGATTTTTCCTTTTAAACTGGCTCTCCCGACCCAGCAAGATTGTCCATTAATATCTTCTTTTCCACCGCAATACCGCTACCGAAAAGATAATCTCTAAAGCAACTGAGAGATTTTCTCTCGTTACCAAAAAGATAACCTCCAGAGCAACTAAGAGATTTTCTCTCTCTAAAAGTGAAAGCCTACCAATCCAAATTTTATTGATTCTCTTTTATAAAGATCATCTTGAGCTTTTTTCTTGCTCCCCAAAAAACCCCTTCTTTTTTCACCATAATACTTTTAGTATTTGATTTTGACTATCACCGAACATAACAAAGTGTAATTTGATTAAGACTCGTATTTTAAAAGGATGATAAAATTTCTCTTCTCTTCACCTAAAACAAAAAAAGGATTTCTCACTGTTCGAACACTATTTTGAGAGAAAAGATCACATCTTTAAGGGATTTTTTATTCCCACTGCTAACAAGAGTGGATGTTCAATTGGGGCCTAAAAATTATTTCTATAGAAAAAAGGAGGAGGCATTTTAGTTAAACCATTTGTTCAATGTCCAGTAAAGAACAAGACAAATATATCATTCCCATCTTCAAACACCATCGCCATTTTTATTTTCAAAAGTCAAATACCTTCCCTATCTTCAAATAAATGAAAGGGAAGTTTAAAATGTTTAAAATAATTCACCCAAAAAAAAGTTTAAAACGTAAGAGTTGAACTATTTAATATTTTGTTTTAAGTGAAGTTTTTAAATCCGTTTTGATATATTACTTGATGGCTATTTGAACTTTGTTCACGAGAATGATGGACTACTTGAAATTATATAAAAAATATCCTGAAATATTAGATAATTCAAATATTAGATATAGTTTGAGTAAATATGATAAAAAAATATAACACAATATTTAAAGGGTGCGGTCTATATAGAGCCGAGGCTCTAAACAATCAAAGCAAAGCATATTTTCAAATACTGTCAAGAAATGTGGTTTTAATACTAGAAATCTTTATAATAGCCTTAAAATATAGTTTCATCTTTAAATTATAAAAGTTAAAAAGCTTAAAACATAATGTAGATAGAACATATTTATGAAAACTTGAAAATCTTGAAAATTGATAGTCCAAAAATACGTTACAAGATGCACTAATGCGTTATAAGATGCACTATTTCCAAAACTTGAAATCCATTTTTTTCTCATGTCCATGCATCTTGATGTCGATATGAACAATTTGAAGGTATTTGGGCATTAAAACAACATCTTCTATTAAAATTTTAAGGTGGGCTCTAAGTTGATTATTTAGAGCCTCAGCTCTATATAAACTTTTTTCTTTAAATAGTTCAAATGAGAGATATAGTAAATATAATATAGAATTCAATAAACTGAAAAAAGGAAAGCTCAAGAAGGCAACATTCTTCTAAAGAGAAGCAAAGAATATTTCTTCAATATCTTTTTTGAAGGGGATATTAACTTAAATTACTGATAAACCGCCGCAACCATACCGGTTACCGCTCAAGCCGGTGGCCCTTTATCTGTCGCCTTAAAACACGTATAAATGGCCTCTCTCTGCGTGAATTTCTCACTCTCCGGCACTTGCCTGAAAATTCGGCCTGTAATTTTCACGGGAATTATCGCGGGAAAATTTGCCGGGACTTTCCAATCAAGGTGAATATTGGCTGGAATTTGTTTTGATCAGTTGTTTCAGGTTTTTATGGCTTAGATAATAGAACGCGATTTGTTCTAGATCGGGGTATAGGTTGAGTTTATTTGATTGGGTAGTGTCGGTTGTTTGGATGGGAAATCTAGGGTTTCTAGAGGTCGTCTTGAGTCTTATTTTGCTCTCTGCTTTTTAGGTTTGGATTGTTTAGGATTGTTCTATGCTGCATGGATGGTTTCTTTTGCTGAATTTCAGTAACTTAGGAATTTATTTTCATTTTGATGGGATTTTACTCCTTTTCTATGAATTATATGGTGAAGGAAATGTTTTCTGGAATGTTTGATTGGTATGGAAGTTTTCTCTAGCAAACTGTTTGGGATTTCGGGTAATTATTCATTTTATGTTTGTAACTGTTTTTTGCATTCTCCGTTATAAAAATTGTGTCTTTTTTTTTTTGTGGTATAGATTGAGTACGTTTTGATGAATTTGATAAAATGAAGCATTTTATTTTACCTGAGGACGAATTCAAGTATTTGATGTGTGGCTTGCTTTGTTTATCTCTTTTTTACTGACTGTGGAGAGGATAGATTTGGAGAGTTGTTGTATTTGGATATGCTTTTGTTATGAAGAGATTACTTGAATCTCAATGTAGATTGGGATTGATTAATGAAATAATTATTTGGTAATTGTACTACTATTGCAGTATCTTTACAGCTGCTTTCATCAAACTGGGTTTTAGATAAAATTGCTTGTGTTAATACTTTGGTTGCTGCTTCCTTTAATAGTTGGCTGATATGGGTGTTAGATATGTAGGTATTGGATAATGGCTCTTATGTTGTTATTTGATAATATTAGTTGCTATAGTTAGTTCGTTTTTTCAAATTTAATTGCTTGGAGTTGCTGTTAGTTTGCTAGTTGATAGGCTCACTCTTTTTAAGAAATCCTTTTACTTGGAAAATTCTATTCTACTTATGAATTGATCATTTAAGTTTCTGCAGTTCTTTGGATTGGTTTTGTTGGTAGATTCTTATTACAGAACAATTCATGTTGGTAGTGTTATTTGGAGAGGATTGTGCTCTCTCTCTCTCTCTCTCACACACACACACACACACACACGCAAACACACAACACACAGTGCTTGTGTGCATGCAATGTGTTCACGTGATATTATGTTTTACAAAATGAATTCTTTTGGGTGTCCTGTGTGGTTTTTAGTTCTAGTATACGCATTTTTGTCCCCATGTTTTTTCATTGTCTTGAAAGGCTTTTTATATTAAACTTGGTGTTCCATACTTTCATGGGCTTACTTTGGGTTTGTTTGTCACCTAGAGATTGTAAATGATATTGTTTTAGCGATATAAGGGATGGTTCATAGTGCTTTGGCATGATAAAAGTCTATTATTTTGGAACTTCTGTAATCCTGATTCAGATATTTTTAACAACTTCTCTATCATTATTCAGCCTATAATTTTTACAGGTACTTATTTCATACCACTTGAATGACTCTTTGTTCAGGTTTAATAATTCATTTGTTTTTATGACACTATTTTCTATATGGCTATCCAAGGCATTTTCTCTTGAACTTCTATGCAATTGTATCCTAAGTGGTTTATACCACGAATGTTGTTCTCCATGAACTCAATAGTTCATTTTTCTTTCTTAAGAACTTGATTGTGTTATTATATTATATGGGGATTATAATTTATTGGTTTATCCTTTTTCTTGTTTCTCAGCATTATGTAACACTTGGAAGTAATGCCATTTAGTGCTTTTGCACACAAACCACTGTAGAGTTCTTTGGCAAAATCTGATAAGTGATTTGATTGTTCATTTTCTTACAAGTTCATTCAAGAGAGATCAGTTTCATCTTACAACTCGTTTTGATAGTAGAATGTTTAAATTTTTTTAGTAAGCCGATATTTAATAATTTTGATATCTGTAAACTGCTTTCAATTGTCTTTTGGATTCATTTTTTCATGTCTCATTGCTTAAGGTTTTTATCATAATCATTGTTACTACAGGAAATTATAATCATTAAGGACTCTGTTATCTTTACAGTCTAATAATTTTTTGGAATATTTTGTTCCATTGGGGCTTACATTTGATTATTTTTTCTCCTAGTCCCCTCCACCCGTCCCACCCCCTTCTTTGTATCATTTTCTTGATATGAGACATTTGTTATACCAGAATATCTGATATGCTGCAACCTGTAACTGATATTAGATATTCTTTCCTGCAATTGTTTGCAGTCCGTAATTTTCTTTACAACATTTCATGTTTTAAGTTTAAATTTTTTACTGGAATTTGCATTAAATGTGGGTCTTATTTATGTTTTCTGACTGACTTATTGAAATTCTGTTATCTGATCAGATTGAAGAATGGCTGATAATGAGAAGGAGGGCGAGGAAACTCCTGGGCGTGGAAATGATTGGGAAGTAGTTTCACTCACTGCATCAACATATGCTGCAGCACCTGGCCCAAAAAGCTTCGAAGGATCTGAGGACGATAAAGATAGGGAGCTTAGCAAGGATAATAAAGAGGAATGCTCACCTGCATTGTTCATGTCGGACCATTTTGTATTCCCACCAAGCGAGCACGAGAATTTGCCAATTGAGGTTGATAGCCCAGAGATCATTGAAAATCCCTCAAATCTCTCTGAAAGTGTTGATGGGTCTAAGCCTGATTCTCAAATTTATGAAATTCGCAATGAGGCTGAGGTTGATGTGGCTGAAGATGACAGACTCGAGAGAATTTTGGAGCATAAGAAGACAGCTGAAGAGGAAACACTCCATGGCATTGTGTTTTTTGATGATAAGGGTAAGAAGCTCTATGACTATGGTAAGGATGTGAAAGGAGGCAAGGGTTTGCAGGGGCTGGATTGGATGGAACCAATCAAGCACCCAGAAGTGGAGGAAATGCAAGATATCTATAGAGTGACTAAGCTGGGTTCTTTTCATGATGAAGCAGATGTCGGTGGGTCGACCATATGTGACAAGGGTTCCATTATTGCAGAGGAGCTTAAAGGGGCAGAGGAGACAGATGATCCTTCTTCACCATCAAATTTGGGATCTCTTTCTGAGTCTTTAAGATCTGCAAAGCCATTAAAAGAGAAGAAAAGTGATGGGTCTGGTCTTCCTTGTGAAGCTTGGTGGAAGAGGCATGCAGCTTCTCTCTATGCTCAGGCTAAGGAAGCAAACACCTTTTGGTCAATCTTTGTAGCTGCTGCTGTGATGGGACTTGTCATTTTGGGGCAGCGCTGGCAACAGGAAAGGTGGAAGGTACAACAACTTAAGTTCGGTATCAACGATGAGGTGAGCCAATCTTTATTCATATGATATATAGACTTCTCTATCCGTAGAGCCAACAACCCAGTGTGCGGGCTGTTTGTAATACTCGCTATCTGCTGAATGAATTGAGATCCATTATTTAAATATAACTCAAGTTGGGTCCACCGCCCAGTGTACTGGCCAGATGACATCATATTTCAAGAGTGTTGTTAACTTGAGCTGTTTGGCTTGGCCTTTAGCATAAAGTTTCTTTTTTTTTCTTCTGTTGGATGGTAGTTTGTTATTTCATTTCTTTGATAGGCTTGTTAAGTGCATTGATGCTATTAACTTCCTTTGAAATAATCTACTGAAATTTTTTGGTTGAATTATTGCATAGTAGATTTTTTGGACAGTTTCTCGTTGTCTCTGAACTTGTTATTGTACTGTAATTGATATGAGTTGGTATGTTGTTTGGGTTTGGCAATTTATATCAATTTGTGGCCTGTGATAACTGATAACGGTTTTATTTACTTTGAAGTTAATGCTTGATGCATAGTATAAGAAAATGGAGTTACTGCTTGGATACTATGATTACTGTGTAATGACTTTTGAACCAATTCCCAGTATTTCATCATTTCACATTTACTATATTTCCCTATGACAGATGTAGACCCTTGCTTAACCTTCCGCTGCCATTGCCTAGTCCTTCCCTAAGAAGAGACTTTCACACATGGTTTTTCCATTCAAGACATATTCTCTGTTGCTTATCAGGATTGGACATTCATGTTCAAGTCACTGTAAACATATTAATTTATTTCCAGCTTATATCATGGTAGCATGCTGGATAGTGAGTTTTGCTAAAGGCTTTCTGAAGTCTGTCATATTTGTGAAACTCCAGCTAGGCAGAGTCTAGTCCTTTGCCTGTGGGGAGAAGAGTTTTCTATCATGGATCCTCTGTTTAGTAATTTCAAAGAAAGTTATTTTCTGATTATGTGATTATGTCACAAGTCATCAATTCTGTGGTATATCACATATATCTTACATGAGATCTTAGAGCTTAGTTAATCTGTATCCATATTGTCTTTAATATTCCAGTTTGGCCAAGGGAACATTAACTCATTGACTAGAGTGGTGTTAGCTGTCCACTCTTTCCATTTGAGGGTCTGTGATTCAGTGAGACTCACCTAAGTCTCTGTTTTCATCTGGACCTGGCACTATGCTGGTCTGAGTCACTTGGGCAAGTCCAAGCTTGAGACACTGATTTTTTAATTGCTACTAATTATTGTCACGTGTAATTTGGTTACCTACAAAAAAAACTTTTAATACATCATAAGTTTAGTCATTCCTTTATGCATCAAGTTCCAATCTCCATTTGCATCGCTTTGATTTGAATTGGAATCCTTTTTCTTTGTATAACTATGATCCATGCTATAAATATATACTGTTCTGTGTCATGCTCAGTTTGACTTATATTTTTATTATGATGAGTTGAAAATCTTGAGTAACACTTTCTCAGGTTTCCTTCTCTATTTGTAGTGTCATGTGCATGTGGCACAATCCCCCAAATTAAATTGTAGGGAAGAGAGTAGAACATAGTTATTGTGTATCTTTACCGTTCAACATAGGGAAAGTATCTCCATATCCCCCATTTTAAAGTTTCATATCTTCATGGACCCAAGATTTCAAAACATATCTTTGGCCATAGATATCCTAAGTTTTATATCTTCTAACCCTTTAAACTAACTTTTTCATTTTGATCTTATTTTCTAACCCAAACAAATTATAAAAGGACAAATATTTCTAAACCTATATTTTCTCTCTCATCCCCAAACTTCTCCCTCTTTCACTCTCCCCAAGCCCCTTCTCTCTTTCTATTCCGTGTAATACACCCAACTCTCTCTCTCTCCCTCCGTATTACCTCTCTCCCCATCACTCCTCAAGCCCTCTCACTCTCTCCCTCCCTGTATGGCCCTCTCTCTCTGTGGGGCCATATATGTGTCCATATGGCCCCCTCTCTCTCCCTATTACCCCCTCCCCCCCTCCTCTCTCTGTCTCTCACTGTCTCTCCCTTGTGTTTGCCCAAACCCCTCTCTCTCTCTCCCCCAAATGCCGTAACTTATAACACCCTTATAACTGAAACTTTCGAATGGCCCAAAAAGGATTGATTGCTGATGGGTTCACTTATGGTGCTCTTGTACATGGTCTATGTAAGGAGAAAATGACTCAAGAGGCAAAACGGGTTATCACTGAAATGCTTGAGAATGGACTAAAACCTGACTGTTATATTTACAGTAGTGTGATTGATCGTTTGGTGAGAGTAGAAGAAATTGAAGAGGCTTTCAGCGTAAAAGATAAGATGGTGACCTCGGGTATTCAGCCCAGTGCTATAACATATAACATGCTTATTCGTGGGTATGCAAAAAGGGTTTGGTGAAAGAAGCTGATAAGCTCTTGGGTGAGATAGTGAGGATGGGTTATACCCCAGATTCCATGGCTTAGACTTCGGTTATTGAAGGGCATTGTAAGAATCAGAATTTGGCCGGAGCTTTCAATCTTCTTGCCAAGATGAAGCAAAGAAGACTGAAACCATTTGTGGTAACTTATAGCATTTTGATAAATGGGTTTCACAAAGCATGAAATTTCCAGATGGTCTTGACTGGATTTTCCAACCGAACCTCTAATTCTCCACTGGTGAACCTTCAAACCTTAATCAATCCTCAATTCACCATTGAACCTTTTAAGCCCTAGCCAACCTCCTATAAAACCTGAGTAAGGGTTTCACATAGCATCAAACAATGAGACAATTGATGAGTATTTTAAGCGCTAGGCAGAGATGGAAGGCTTTTCCCTTAAACTGATAAATTTTGGAGTCATCTAAGATTCCATCGAAAATGGCAGTACCTCTGCAAATGACGTGAATCTCTGCAAATGGAGATCTTTGTGGTTTGGAACCTCTGCAAATCGACTTCTCTCAAAGAGAAGAGGGGTTTGGGAAACATGGGGTAGAGAGAGTGGGATAATACGGAGGGAGAGAGAGAGAGAGTTGGGTTAATACACTGAGGAGAGAAAGAAGGGGCCTGGGGAGAGAAAGGGAGAAATTTGGGGATGAGAGAGAAAAGATCGGTTTAGAATGGTTTGTCATTTTATAATTTGTTTGGGTTAAAAAAATATAATTAAAGTGGAAAAAGATAGCCTAGGGGGTTAGAAGATACAAACCCTAGAATTCCTATGAAATCTTGGGTCTATGGAGATATGAAACTTAAAAATAAGGGATATGCAGATATTTTGTAATAAACAAAATTTCTACACAAATAAAATAAAATAAAAAATACACATTTTTTGGATGTTTAAATACAAATAGACATTCGCATATGCTCTAACTACAATCCCCCTCAAGTTGGTGCATGGATATCATGTATACCCAGTTTTGCAATTAGGTTTAGTAGTCCTCAGCATTCAACTTCAGTGAAAACTTTTACTGGCTGATCTTTCATTTTGACATATAGATTTGTGTATTACTTTACTCGCCACCTTCTCTATGTGTGGTGTGCTCAAAGAACCATGAAGTCGTGGCTAGGTGAATCGCGGCTTGGTAATCACAACATACATGAAGGAGATGCCATATGCCATAGCATAGATGTGGGGAACTTATTTGGGAGGTGGTGATCGCCCCTCGGAATCTCACTCCGGCAATCCTAGAGCTGGAGCCCGAGCAGAGCTCGCTCCTCCAATCAAGGGAGCTCGATCCCTATCTTGTAAGGATCTCGAACCTTGAGTAAAAGGGATCTTGATTGCTTTGGAAGGGGATTGTTACCTAATTGAAAATGGGGTGCAATCATAGTCTGAAAGGATCTCAGTCCTTGGGGAAGTTTCAAAAGTTTTTGAATTTTGAACCTAATATTTTGATTTTGTGCTTTTCTTTGTTATTAACTTTTTGTCGCTTCTAGGTAATGACAATGAGTAGATGATTTTTTTTCTTTCGTTTTTTAGTCATAGTTTACATAAGTGGTTGAAAACTGGTGAAGAGTCTTGAAGAGGGGAATTTATGAGGTTGTCTAGAACCAGGCAGTTCTCACTATAAGTAATCACTATGTCTTGTCTGGTTAGGGACTCAAGCGATTCCTGAGTTTGACTCTTTCACGGCCCGCCCATCTCAATTTTTCAAGGGATTTTCAAGCTATAGAGTTCTCATTGTCCATGTGTAGATAATGCTAAAATAGCTTATACATTTCCCAAGTTTTAATCACTTCCAAAAAAAAAAAACAATTATATATGAAGTGTTCCCCTAGCAAATCCAGTGTGCATATGGTACGTTTATCAAGCTGTTCCTGAGTCGGCTTCTTGAATGATGCTTCCAGTGTTTGGTTTGCATATTCCTAAGTCTTTGGTGCTATCGAGTCTCTGTTCCAATGTTATCAAATTCGCTTCGGCCGAAGATGCTGAAGTCTTCAGATTTTTGGCCTAAACCGAAGCAAACCAATGCTCCAGTGAATCAGCTTCAGCCTGTTTTAGTTTGATTTGGCCTCTTCGATCGAAGATTCAGCCTCTTCGGCCAAAGCATAGATTTGTCTTTTTTAAATACCATTATGTGCTTCGGTCTGATTCGGAATCTTCGGGCTTCAGCTGAAGCAAATAATTTTTTTGAATTTTTTTGAAATTTTATTGGTTTAATATATATTTTTATATATAAATATATACTTTATTGGTTACTATTTTTAAAAAAAATTCCGAAGTCTTCCTCGGAATCGGCCGAAGCATCGAATTGCTTCGTTTTTCCCGCCAAACCAAAAAAGGCTCCGAAGCTAATTTGACAACAGTGCTATGTTCTAGTCTACATATTTAATGGATTGCTATCCATGTGCTTAATTTTACGACACCTTCATTCTCAAAAACATTTTACGACACCTAGTGAAAACTTATGGGTAAGACACCTCCAGTCAGTCGTGACAATGCCAACTTGAAGTGACAAGAAACAAGCTTGATCCTTGGTTAATTAATTATTTTAACGTTTAAATGTGAGGGACAAGTAGAGTCTGGTGAATAAT